ACGTCGATTTAAAGCAATTTAATTTAAGATTATTGATTTAAAGTGACACCCATAATTAAGGACAATGTTTTAATTTAAAGAGAATCTTTCCTATTTTGCGCGAGTCAATCTGGCGCATCTTATTTTTAAACTCGTGCCTAATGTTTCTCTGGGCACGCTACACTGTCCTAAGGGCAAAGCTGTACTGCGCATGTACTCAAAATAATGTACAGTACTAAATGATTACTAAAATTTTTGTCTAGTGCAAACTATAGCATGATTATATTCAAATTAATCACTATCTTATAAGAATTTCAGCAATGTAAATTATATTCTCCCCAGTCACTTACATGACATTTTATAAAAAAAAACTCAATCTAAAGGACATAAACAAACAAATAAATACTTCACTAGATTTTCGGCGGCGCAATTGTCAAATGTGTCACCTCCCCATCCTCCCTCCCTGTCCCCCATCTTCCCAGCCAGGTTTGGTGGTTTTAGACTAAGTTTATATCTTATATAATATCACAGACTAAAATTAGAATATAATTTGCATTGCTAGAATCCTTGCAAGACAGCGAATAATTTGAATATAAACGTCATATATTTTGCACAAGAGATAAAAATTTTAGCCCTTTGTCAATTCAGTGACATTTTATAAGAGAAAAACTTAGTCATTCTGAAGGACAGATAAATAAATAAGCACTAGACCTTGGCATCAACTGTCAAACATATCACCTCACCCCACCCCCCCTCTTCCCATCAGCTAATCGCTAGTAAACAGACCATTTCACATCCCAAAATTTTAGCTGTGTTGATTTATGAGTGTTTGTTTTAACATAATATTACAAAAAACAATGTTTTGTCTATTCTAGGAGATGGGCTGAGGTGCATCTGGGTAGACTCTCAGTCTTTTTAGTATTTTGTTTCTCTCTGAAGTGCCAAACTAAATTATTCCATTGAAACAACACTTCGATTTAGTGCGAATTCGGTTTAAAGCGACCTCTCTTGGAACGTATCTTGTGTTATATCGACGTTCTACTGTATAAATGTAAAATAAAAAGGAACTTTGTTCATGCCATAGTTTTATGAGATATTCTGTCATACTATACAATAACACTACAGGTATTAAAGAAATAATGACAAAAATGATATACAGTATAATATCAATTGTGGTATTTGGACCACTATGTATACCCCTGTATGACAAAATGGAGAACGAACATGAGTAATCAAATTTCAGATTGCCCCCTACATTTTCATGAAAAACCTTGTACAGTACTGTATACTGTATTTCAATGACTCATAAAAAAAATGTCAACAGCTGTACTTTTATTTGTTTGGGGTTTTATCAGAAATAAATAAACAAACATAACTTATTACAGTATTCCCAAAATTTCACATATTCTTCATAAAATCAATGATTCTACCATATGCTGAGCTGCTTCTATCAACTATACGCTAACTGCCCACCTGCTACAGTACAATATTCGTTTCCTATAACACATATCTGACTTGCATTAGTTCTGAAGTAGATTTATCCACCACTTTAAGAAATGTAAGCCTCATTGTAAACTGCTGATGAATGCAGTATCACGGGCATCCACTGAGGAGGTGAAGTTCCCCCCCCCCTTGAATCAAGGTTGTGTCAAGGGAAAACTGTCTTGATTGTAGATAGCTTCATGATACAGTGTTTGTCTCTAAAGCTGGGAGTACTGTATTGTTAGCTCCACCTAGAGCTAACAATAAACTAGGCAAAATGCTTGGTACAATACAGAGTGGAAACCAATACAGTACTCCCAGCTTTTGAGACAAACGCTACCAACTAAGCTATCTACACTTTATTAACAGTCTTGCTAAGTTCATATCTATGACAATCATTAAGTGTACAGATAATGGATATGCTATTTCCACCAAAGTGTGCAAACACCAACTTTGTTTTGCAATACCATGAATTTAGCTGATGATGTAATACTGGAAGTTTCATAAAAAGCCGCAAGGCCTGCAGACAGAAAATTCAAGTGGTATCAAGGAATTAAATTTTAAATATACTATATCTCACACTTACTTTTACTTCTATCCTCTTACCCACTGTCATGGTACCATTGTTTTAGATGAAATTATTTTCAAGATAGTGATTTTTAGATATGCTATTCTGCCAGTAAAGTAATAAACCTGTTATAAGCTTAAGAAAAAATTAAGCCTACCAAACGCAACTTTAGGAGCTAGTTTATCCCCCCCCCTACCCCTGGAAAAGTTACAGCAGTCACCCATGCACAGTACCTCTAGTGACTTCATGTCAAGAACTATCTACTTAAATTTTTCTTTATTTTGCATTCGTTTTGAAAATTTTCTTACATGAGTTTTATCAGAGAACTAGGCTACAAAAAAATCTAGCTTTTGCCTATTGACTGGAAATTCCAACAATATCAGTGACAACTTTTTTTATAAATAGCATTCTACCTTCATATTGAAAAAGTGTTCTATTTTCCTTACAAAACTGCAAATAGTTTTTGTTAATAGCTGTATAAAGAATGCATGCATCAATCTTTGTGCAGTTTTAGGATTGTTACAGTTGACATTATAACCTATGAAATGGATATGCATGTAACACCACTATTATTCTTTACATCTAAAATAAAGTAATTAAATTTCTGTGTATATAAAATAATCAGTTTCATTATAAAAAAATGAAATCAACAGAAATGAAATAGTAAAGAAACAATAAATAGTCCAGTTGGTGGCTATCACGTCAGCTCACAGTACACCAATGTTGATAATTGTGTTGTCATATACTGTCTCAATACAAAAAGGGATTGTAACCATCCACTCAGTACAGTACACTGGTTTGATATGCTGTACTAGGGTGGGGATGAAGAATGGTTAATTAATTTTATTTTGCAGTTAAAGATTTTAGTGGCTGAACATCACATTTGTCAAATTAAAGGAACACATGATGCTGTGAAGTGATTTAAACAAACATTCTATAAGAAATCTAAAATATTCAATGGTAAAATATATTTCCTAATTAACTGTTAAGAACTATTTTCCCCATATCCATGATACAAAACAGTGAGAACTAAACTTCAATGCCATCTCATGCTTCAAGCTCAGTGATCCACATAAACCTCTACCACATTATATTCTACCATATAGTGTACAGTACATTCCCTTTAAATCTTTAAGTGAAAGATATCAGAATAATTTTAACATACGTGTCTACAAATTAATTGAAATAAGTAATTACTTTCAGCAAAATAGGACAAGAAATGTACACTGCCCCATCAAACCTGGTAATATCTGGTCAATTAAAAAAATTATATATATATATATATATATATATATATATATATATATATATATATATATATATATATATATATATATATATATATATATATGCTATATATATATATATATATATATATATATATATATATATATATATATATATATATATATATATAATACCAATAACAATGTACCATTTTCAGTCAAAATTCATAAAAAATTACATATTTATGACATTAGATGTGACCTCAAAAATTTCATAAAATGGTAAGTATTAATCTAGCAAAACTCAACACCTACTGTAACATCAGAAAAGGGGAAGCAGTTACTCATGTCATACTCACTACCTTGACATAAGGACCACAAGCAGTGAGCAGGTTACATACAACCCAAGAAAACAAACCAACCTCTCAATTATTTATTTCTGTTGATATGAACTAAGTGGTCCTCATGGTTTGGTATTAAGATAAACATCTAAACAATGTGTTTGTGTGCAATTCTCTAAATTATGCTGTACTAGAATTCAAATGTAGAAAAAATATAATTTTAGAAACAAGTGCACAATATGACACTTTCTACATTTTGGAGTTAAGAAAAGTAGTAAACTGTCAACAGAACCATTCATAAGTACAGTAAAAGGCTGTTCACAACACACTATACGTAATGTGTTGTGTAAGTCTCAGGTAGTCAAGTGAAGTAAAGCTATAGTAAATACAGTACTGTATTGTCATATTTTGGGGTTTTATATATGGGTAATTAATGATATTATACATTTTGTGTATTCCAAGCTGTGTCTGTAATTAATTCTCATCTGTAATACATAATTTAAAATAAAAAAATTTAGTGCATGACTATCACAAGATGTCAGTTGCTTTAAAAATGGGAAACAAGCTGAACAGTATCTACTATTGAAACAGATAATTCATAAACAGTAGGTTTCCAACAGCACATACTCCACCTTAAGATATTATTTTTATAAGCTAATCCTCCTTGAAAAATATCTATTAAACCAAGTTACATCAAATAAATTTGAACAGCCAGTGATAGTCACACAAAGTCTGTTATCAGGAATATATTTTTTTTTCACTAGAATTTTTTGGCTTTCTGTTTTTTTCAACTGTGCTGGAATCAAAAGACACTACCGCATGGTACATTCATACCAGCCCTTGAGAAAAGTAAACATCTGACATGAGAATAGACAATGTAAAAATCTAACAATTACAGAAATGAGAGATCACAGCTGTAGCTCAGCCAGCTGAGCTAAACTTTTGTTTGTCAAAAAGAATAATTCATTACTGGATACATCCATACATTATGATGTGACACTGCAAAAATGAACATGAAGTGATGTATACTTTGCCAATTACATCCAACATGAAAGGTTTTATGATTATATATATATATATATATATATATATATATATATATATATATATATATATATATATATATATATATATATATATATATATATATATATATATATATATATATATATATATATATATATATATATATATATATATATATATATATATATATACATATATATATATATATATATATATATATATATATATATATATATATATATATATATATATATATATATATATATATATATATATATATATATATATATATATATATATATATATATATATATATATATATATATATATATATATATATATATATATATATATATATATATATATATATAAAACCCAAATACAAACTACAGCTTTACTACTTTACCTAAGAATCATTAATTTCACAAATACATCCCAAATTAAAACTACAATCTTACTGCTTTCTTAAATGAAGTTTTCTTTGAAGTTTAAAAAAAAAACATTGATGTTACATTAACATCAGCTTTCCATTAACCTATAGAACATTTCTTTCACCATCAGATCACATATATTAACACAAAATTTGTAACTGCACACCATTACCTTCCAGTTTTCTGGAATCCTCAAAAGCTAATCTTCACCAGAAACATAGCCAGTGAGATGAAAATAACAGTACCTGTACAGTGTGTAACCGGTCACTATTTAGAGGCACGAGACTTTATAGTGGCCTGGAAAAACTCCCCATCACCTTGTGTAGCTGCTTTATTGATAGCTCGATGACGATCACGGCTAACACATTCCTCCACCACTTCACCCGAGCCTTTAATCAACCTGTAAAGGACATCATCATCATCATCAACTACAGAATACAATCCATACATCCCTAAGTCACCAAATAGCAGATCATCCACAAATTGTCAGGTTTTATGTGTAAATTAAGAAGACAGGCAAACATGAGTTGGAGGCACATGCCCTTATCACCCAAGGTGCACTAGTGGATGTACTGTACTAACTGTTAAGTTCATGGTTTTTGGGTACATTTTCAGAAACAGTGTACAATTGCTGGGGTAGCAATACAGTATACGTACCTGTATATGCATGTATCCCTGACTATATGAATCAGTTATGTTCCTTGAAAACTATTTGTTAGGTGAATATTGTATAGGCATTCGCTGATTTATGTCATGCCAAACAGTGCAATTTCGATATAAAGTTACTTAATAATCAAGGAACAATATTATATATAAGCCACTAAAGTCGTTTAGAGTCTTGCAAACACCAGTGTGGCAGTGAGGAGGTAACATCATCTGCCCGCCTAACCCACGCATTCCCAACCCACCAAAATTCAGTTTCACTCACTCTGCAAACAGTCCTGCTGGTAGTGTACTCAAGATTGATTGATTGGGAAAAATATCTGGCATAACAGCCTGTGGCCATTTGATGCTGAAAATGATACAGTACTCATAATTTAAAATTATGACATAAATAAATAAGATTCTGTTAAATTTAAACATCAATATTAAAATATAATATAAAATGCATATTTATTTTAAAATCATAAACAGTTAAGTACCTCTCTTGCAATTAAAAATTTAAAAGTTCCACCAACAGGTACTGAACTTTTCTCACTGAGCACCTTCAAGATGGAGAAGTAACCATCCTCCTGCCAGCACTCGGCCAGAAAACAACTCCTCGTCCCCATAACTGGGTCACTCTACCAGCAAGTGTAACAGTCAGTGGCACCAGGCAGTCATCACAATAGTGTTGCAGTCCTCCGGCCATAAGGAAACTGTGGGTGAGGCGAGTGAGTGCGGCCAACAGATAGACAGGTAAGGGCAGTCTCATATTGTGGGGCATCCAAGGATATTCCCAAGGACAGATCTTTGTTGTAATTTCTCACAACTCACTGGAAATGGATAAACTGTCCCATTGTAGCTGCCAGGAGGCCCAGATGGCTGACCTGGCTGCGACAAGAAAAAATCTGTGACAGATGGAGAGTAAAGGAGCATGACGAGAGGCAGCTGACTTGGCCACCTCATTACCTTGTACAAACACATGGGCAGGAACCCAACAGAAATCTACATTATGGCCTTGCCAACAGAGGACCACTAACCAGCAAAAAATATCTGAAATGAGAGGGTGGATGGGATTGAAAGATTCCAGAAAACAGTGCTGCTCTGGAATCACTAAAAATAATAAAACTCCCAGCCTTATGGGTGTTGATTTCTTAAAGGACTAGGCATATAGCAGAGAGCTTCGCAGTAAAAATACAGTACTGTACATGTATAGTACTCTTGATTTAACGAAATCCGATATAACGAACTCTCGATTTAGAAGAAGGAATGTTTTCCGTTATTTTTCACTCGATTTAGTTAACTACTGTACGTACAGTGATCCCTCGGTTAAAGAATGCCTAGGTTAACGAATTACCTTCCACAAGAATCTTCAACTCGATTAACAAACAAAAATTCGGTTTACGAAATCCTTACGAAATTGTGTCAACATGTTTTCGCCTGCTCACCAGTTGGAGTATTAGTCCGCCAATACAGTAATCGGTTTTAGGGCTTAAATTCGTTACCATTTGAGTAAATATCAAGAAGGTTGTACTATTCAATAATTTTCCAAGTCTTATATTAAATTTTTTAGTCATTTTAACAATTATTTAACATAATTGAAGTACAGGGAACTAGTTTTTAGCACGCCAAACAGCCACTTGACTCACCCAGAATGGTGTCAGTTTGTGTCTCTGCTCAGTGGAGGTAGCATCTTGCTTGAGACTCTCTTGAACATAAACTATTTTTACATTTTTACAGTACAATTATTGGTCATTCTGAAATGTATTTTACATATTGACAATATATAGTGCAGTGCAGTGTTGATTTAAAGAAAATAATCTTGAATTACACCTAGTGAACTTAAAATTTTATGGGTGAAATGGCGGCATGAAGCATGGGGTGACTTCTCTTCCACCCCAATGTCTCTCTTCTCCCTTCTCTTCCACCCCCACTTCTAATTCCCATCATCATCATCAACTAGGAGCCTTCTACATGCACACCTCAAAGTAAGTGTACTTTACTGCATTTATTTTTAGTTTGTATGTAATTTTCGGTGAGCTGGAACCAATTACCCAAAATCCCATTGAAACAATGGTTTCTGTTAACGAATGACCTTCTGGAACGAATTGTGTTCGTTAACCGAGGGACCACTGCAGTTAGCTAAATCAAGATTCATGGATGAAGTGACGGTTCTGGATAAGCACAAGAAATACACTCTGCCACGTCCAAGGTGGTCAGTAATGCATATCGGTATACTTACTGATCATAATACTTATCTCCCATAAATAATTCATTTAAAATTTATTTTTTTACAACGAATATTCAGAAATGACTGTGTTAATTCTTGAAACTACCGAACAGACAGTGGAAAATTTAGGATGAGAATGATGAAGACGAAGTCAGGTCATCTGATTCGGAGTTTGATCCTTAATGATCACCATAAATGTATCGGGTCAACTTCACCCACCAGGTAGCCTCCCTTTGTTGCGAAACAAGTTTATAAATTAAAGAAAATACTTGCAGTGTGTTTAATATATTACAGTATATTATAAATAAATAAACAAATAAATCGGTAAATCCATTTCAAGTAAATAGAAAATTTTTACTCGACACCGACATTAGTTCCAGTTAAATAACAGACGCTTAAGTGACGTCACTAGTGTTTACACTACACCAGCCGGTAACATTTGATGCCATTTCTTGAAGTGAATTGGCCTTATTTTAAATAACCAACCATAAATAAACACAAAATAAAAAAAAATATCAAAATAAAGAAACAATATACTGTATGTATGTTGTGTTGTCAAAGTACGAGAAACAATTGAAACTGCAATTGTGTGTAAATGAGGCAGAAAGTCAGGTCAGCAACCTGGGACTTGGTCACAATTTTTGTGATGCCATATGGCAGCAGGGTCTACCATTAGACAACACATTATGCTTCCAATATCTTCCCAGGTGGTAGTATCTACCTGTTTGGTAGCTGCCTACTACCTACACAACTTTTAGAGTGGTGGTAACTCTCGACAGGAGCTGCCATGCACAGGCCAACCGGCCTATTGCAGACTCCTTATTTTCTTATGTTCTTATGATGAAGACGAAGTCACATCATCTGATTCGGAGTTTGATCCTTAATGGTCACCATAAATGTATCAGGTAATCTTCACCTACCGGATAGAGCATTCCTTTGTCCAATAATATTCTTTAAATAATTATTTATCCATTGGGTCATTGTTGTCTGCTCTGATTTTTCTGTATGGTATGTTCTGCCTTTGTGCATTAAGTAACTACTGTAATTATTTAAATTGTTGTGAAAGTGACGTCGCACTATGTGCGTACATTGTGTAAGGTGACCTCACGTCAGGTCATGTAATCCATCCCCAAACGTGATATCCCTTCTCTCAAAGTCCTGTTATAATAGCCGAGATAAGTTTATTTCTCAAGAAACAGGGCCGCCATTTGCAATGACATCACTACCTTCAAACTCATCGCTGCAGTCGGAAGTAGTCGAAAGGATGGCCTCTTCAAACCCCAAATGCCACGTTCAGGTAAGTTTTAAGGGTGTTTTTTTATGGACTATGTCATGGACATTTCGTAAGTGAAGAAATGTGCCGTGAAGAGCAGCTTCAAACATAGGTTGGATGGATATATGAGTGATAGGAGTTGGGTGTAAATGGAACTGCCAGGTATGGGCCAATAGGCCTGCTGCAGTTTCCTCCATTCTTATGTTCTTTTGGACATAAAAAACTCCCATGTTCACACCAGCTCAGCTGTCATGTACTCTTACCAGATAGACTTTCTCTTTTTCTTCAGTGCCTTTACAGAGTATATCAGTACTAGATGGAGATACAAGTAAATTTAGAAGTACAGTAATGACATTCTCTGGACCTTGTTTTGAGAATGCCTGATGCTAGGTAAACATGACAACATAGTGCTGTTATTGTTTTGAGGATTCACTAATGAAGCACTGGGATATCTCATCATTTATATTAATTAATGGGTAATACTTTACTTTAACTACCACGAGTATTTGGATGTTTAGATTCGAGATAGGCTATATTGGGTAAATTTTAAGTTTTGGTCATCCCTGTACTTGGACATGCAGACTATGTTTTTTGTTTACTGATGGTTTGCGATGTGTTATGAATGATTTAGACCTTCATTTCTATTGGAAATCACTAGTTTTGAGTTACTACCCCCCTTACCGATGTGTGTTTAGTTAACCTTATAACGCATCATACCCTAACCTAACCTATGACCTGTATTTTTTTATGCAATCAAAAAATGTTTTGCTACAGAAATCCCGTAGAGATAATTAGTCTTATTGTTTAAAGTACTTAATCCCATAATTAGAATCTTAAGGTTCCCCAGATGACCAAAACCAAAATAATACCAATATTGTCTGGAATTTTTATACTGTACTATGAAATTTGTAGTAGGGGCAGCTAATATCCATTGAATTTGTTAATGTGCTTAGTAATATTTATACAGTATATTCAAAATAGTTTTACTGTGTTGCACAGTAAAGCACAATGAATTATCTAATAATATTTATTTACAGAGCCGATCAGCCGAGAAGGTTGGACAACTACTTCTAGGGTTCATCGAGGCAGATGAAAAAAAATTACCAAAAGTAGATGTCTTTACGATTGTAGAGTATTATCAAGAACTTCGCCATCCAGCTATGAAGCACGTTAAATTACATCTGTCATCTGATCATCTCAAGCCCATCCCCTGGCCATGGTCGTCCCTAGTCCTTCCACAACATTAAATATAGACACCAGTGATGAAAACTTACATTTTCCAGACATGAAATATAGAACAGTGATGAATACTTGAGCAGTTATTTATTTTAACCTAAAAATAAAGTATGCCTGTGTATATCAACATTGTATATGGTCACAAGTCCTGTATTTCTACTGGTAACAAAACATACACCACAGCTGGCTGCCTTGAGGCTCCCGCTCTGCGACTCGCACTAGTCAGTGACGTCACAACCAATCACAGAGCTTTTTGCAGTCACATGACTTTTTTGCTACTTTAACCCTTATTTTTTACACTTTTTGGCCCAGTGACCTGCCATCTTACAAAAAAATTCCAACTGACAACCAGTCCATTATAAGTAATATACTATACAGTATCTACCAATTTCAAATTTACTGTACCCATCAAAATTTCAAATAGCCAATATGGAAGCAGTCAATGAGCATTTTATGGCTGAACCATATGTGATATCAAAGAAATATTCAAAACATTCTACACTGTGCATAGCAGGAGTGAAACAGACTGTTAATTAGCAATGAGACATGATCCTATAGAAGACATTGTGCTTGCTTCTAATCTTAGTTTATTTCATAAGAGTGAATAACTATATTTATTATACTATCATACATTTATTGATGAACATTCCAATGGTAGCAGTTAGAATAAATGGTTGGCAGCCAAACAGTCTGCATTAAATCTTGATTCTGGCAACCCTGCAGCATAACAAGAAAGGGTTTGCAAGATTGGGGAAAAGTGGCTATACAGAATAGCTAATACACCGTACTTAAAAGAAAATATTTTATGTGACTGTATAATAAAAATTTTTATATAATTATATATTGTATAGTGCATGGCATTTGAGAAACTAGGATTCCAGGTTTCTGGTACATGGTAGTAAAGCCCCACATGTCCCAAAAATTTGACAAAGAAACACTCTGTAGTCATGAGTCCAAGTTTCCAATCACTGGACAAAACTGTATCATTATCCCACCCATCCATTCAACATCCACACACAGCAGTTCCACTTAGACACAAGACTTATGAAATTAAGACACTACTGTATTTACACCCACAACTATAATTTGACTAAGGTTATCATAAGTATTTTAACAAACAGTATATTATACTGTATTTGAGGACTCATTGGACTAGGCCCTATTGGATCCTATCTGAGGAGAGTACAGGTCACCCATCTGTCATGAAGCTCACTGGATAAAAAATTTATGAGAGTACTGTATTTAGATTTTTTACCCAGTATGTTTTTAAACATACCATTCAAAATTGATTTAACTGACAAGAAATAAATCTAATAAAAAAAAAACAGTGAATCAAATGCAGTACTACTGAGTATCACAGGCAACTGAGATCCTATTGGGTTAAATCCTCATACAAAGGTTCACAGAAATCCATAGCTTTTTGAATGACTTTTCACTCCTAAATAATTAGACATACCAGTACATCTACATAGTAAAACAAAAGTAGCCAAAATTCCCACAAAATAAGGAAAATAAACTGAGTACTGTACTGTACTGAACTCATATGAGAGGTCCACACCAAACTGCATTCTATCCAATACACATTATAGCACTGTATACATAAAATTATAGTACAGTACTGTACTGATATTTCTGGTTATCAAAGAATGTAGTAAATGTGTTTATTCATACTTTAAAAAAAGACACAGTTCTAAGATACAAGAAATAATCACAAACATAAGGATAAAAAATACTGGCAAATACTGTACTGTACTGATCTCTTACTTACCTGTGCCTGCCACTCTCCTGGTCATAGACGACCCTCGTCACACTCTCTTGTTTTTCCCATTCTTCCCTGGTCATGGGTGTCGTGGCCCGGCTCGTGGTCATCATGTCCACGCTCGGCCCCACTGAAGTCGATCCATTTTCTGTGACATCTGTCTTATTTTTGGAGGACTTGGGATTTTTTTCTTTATTGGAATCACTTTTTGTGTGATTGACAACCTCTGCTTTCTGCTTCTCCTTGGTCACTGTCTTCTTCTTTAAACGCTTGGTCTCCTTCTTCCTATCCTTCTTTAATTTTTTAAGCTTCTTCCTTAATCTTTTAACCTTTTTCTTAATTGACTTCTTCTGCTGTTCCTTTGCTTGTTTTTTGCATTTCTTGAGCTTCTTCTTTAATGCTTTTTCTCTCTTCTTCCTTTTCTTGAGAGCCTTTTTTAGTGCCTTGCCTTTTAGCTTACCATTATACACTTCCGTGTCTGACCCCGATGAATCTGAGGATGATGATGAGGAAGATGACGACGATGAGGAAGAAGAGGATGAGGATGAAGACGAGGACGAGGACGACGATGACGATGAAGAAGACGAGGATGATCTTGAGGAAGCAGATTTTGTTCTTTTTCTTTTCTTTTTAACCTCCCTGTGATTTGGGGAAGCTGAGGAGGACGAGGATGATGATGTTGATGCTCGTCTCTTCTTATTCTTTGGCCGTGATCGTGCTTGCACTGTGGCTTCATCTGAGCAGGAAATTGGGTCCTTTTCCATTGTACAGTACCTACAGAGAAATAAGAAAGTTATATCTCACAGTTTAAATAAAAATACACTACGTGATACTTGTATCCAGCACAGGTTGCAGGCACGACAAATTAATAAAAATAAAGTCTTGTGAAGGATAAAACACATTCCCAGATCATATAAATTAAAAAAATAACAAATACCGTAATGGGGTACCGTACTAGCCTAATTTACAAACTATATTTTGTATTTTAATGTCCTATCTATGATGTTTAACCAATACAGTATATCTCTTCTACTGCTTTTACCTGGGTTACTCATATCTTGTCACCATGTAGCTTACAACCTACCTTTGTAAGACCAGGGCCCATTTAAGAGGCTCCTTCAACGTGTGTGTGGAAGCTCCGTGTTTTTCGTCGAAAAACAGGGTCTTTCCAGGAGTACCCAGTCTGATTTCTAGGAAATCTGATTCGTGAGTGTCGTGACCAGTACAATATTTATCTGTGATCCCCCTAAGTAGATATATTTGTCAATTTACTGGTGAATCTGTGACTACCATGTGAGGTGAGGTGTAGGCCCACCAAACTCTCCCCCCCCAGTGACACGGCTTGTAATCTGAGCCCTGTCCACCCCCGTCCACACTCCCCCACCGTTCCACCCAGCTGACCACAACTCGACCGTCTCCATACTGCCAGCCCAGCCCTCACCAGCTCCAATATGTCTAAGTTGACTGCTAGTGTCAAAAATTCAAATTTCACAAAGCAACAGCTGACTGATGTGATATGGAAGTCCAACGGACTCTCATGCAGGACATCATACAACAAATGAATAAGGAGACCATCAGGAAGCTAGAAGAAGCTGACCGGCATCTCACTGACCAGCTAGGTGAGATTAAAAGAAGCTTGGAATTCTTACAAGGGGAAATAAGTGACCTACAAGCAAAGTTGAATGTTGAAGCTAAAGAGAACCGAACACTCAAGACCCAAGTTCAACAGCTGAGTGAGGAAAAATCCAAGCTCAAAACGGAACTAACAACAGCAGACCGGGTGTATTATGTGGATGACATAGGGCGGCGAAACAACCTCAGGATTGCCAGTATCCCTGAAGACATCCACAAGAACTGGGAGTCATCCCAACGCAAAATTTCAATCCTGCTGAATGAACATTTTAAACTTCCTGAAGTCAAGTTTGATCGTGTTCAACGAGTCAGGAAACCCAACTCCTACCCGCCCCCGCGACATCATAACAAAATTCTCATCCCCCTCTGACCGTGACAAAGTGTTTTATCAACGCAGTAAACTGAAAGGCACCACTATCTTCGTCAAAGAAGATCTCTGCCCAGGTACGACTAAAGCCCGTCTACAGCAAATGGACCAGTTTAAAGAAGCCAGGAAACAAAGGAAACACGTGACGTTTAGTCATAAAACCCTTGTTGTGAGGGATTGGGCAAGTGGACACCTGCCCACTCACCCACCCGCTGTACCACCCCCCCCCCCACCAAACCCTTCGAGAACCCACTCCCCACTGAGGGGGAACCAGCCACTGTTGCTATCACCTGAGGAGTTCCCCCCCCCCTGCCGGCCAACTCGAGTACCAACAGCCCTCTAAACCGAGTGACAGGAGCACCTCCCACTCCATCAGGGAATCACCCTCATCCTAATTCTGTTGTTTGTAGCACTTGTAAGTACGTTACCCCCCCCCACTATTATAATTCTTAGATCTTCCTTTTTCACACCTCAGTGACCCTGAGTTTTTACTGTTCCTTAATCAGTATCAATGTTCCCACAATGATGTGCTAGATCATATGTGTTACACCCCATTTACCCATGGTGTTGACACAATACTCCCTCATATCGATCCTGATGTTTTTCTACAAAACTCACTGGGTTACACCAACCCAAACTGTAACTATTACTTTCCTGACTCCCCCGAATTTAGTTCTAGTCTCCTACTACCTCATTCCTTCTCCTTGATTCGCCATAACATCAGCAGTATTCCCCTTCATCTAGATACCTTTTTGGATCAGTGTTTATCTTCTTTTGCCCACAAATTTGATGTACTTGGGTTCTGTGAGACCAAACTCATTAACGATATTGACCAATTGTATAACATTCCTAATTATAATAGACACTGCATCAACACGTCACGACACAGTGGTGGTGTTGCCCTATATGTTGATATCAAGTATAACACTTCTGTAAGAGATGATTTAAAGGTTCAGGAGGAATACATGGAGAGAGTTTTCATTGAATTACGTAACAACACACGAAATATCCTAGTAGGAGTAATCTACAGAAGACCCCACACTAATGGAAGGAATTTTCTTGATGAATTTTCGAAGCTTATCACTATCATAAGTTCGGAGAGGAAACATTGCTACATTACAGGAGATTTCAACCTTGATCTATTAAAATCAGAAACCGACACCTCAGTATTAGACCTTCTTGCTACCTGTCATTCTAAACTCTTCTTCGACACTATAACCAAACCCACTAGAGTAACTGCCACCTCTGCCACTGTGATAGATCATATCTGGACTAACAACACTCCTAACAACCTAGCAAGTGGAATTATTTATAACAATATCTCAGATCATTTCCCAGTTTTTGCCATGTATAAAACAGCCACAAGACCTGAGAGGTCTAGTAGAGTCTCAATCCAATACAGAAACTACTGCACTTACAACATGCTCCTTTTTGAAAACAACCTAATGAATGCTAACTGGGATCTTGTCTATGCCTCCGACAACCCTAACGTGAACAGCTGCAACTTTTCTTGCATCTTCAATGCTTGCTTTGATAAATGCTTCCTGCTCAAGACTAAGTCAGTGAAAACTGTATCCATTTCTAAACCCTATATCACAAGCAAAATTAAGATAATGATAAAAGAAAATCACAAACTCCAAAGGAAATTTGCAAAAAGACCCATAACTTTCGGTGATGCTTACCGAAGTATCAGAAATAGAGTAACTCAAGCAGTTAGAAATGCCAGATGTAACTATTATACAAATAAGCTCCAGTCAGCAACAGTAAGAAAACCTGGAATGTCATAAATTCTATTCAGAACAAGAACACTCAGCCTTCGGCCCCCCACTCAGCTTTTATGATAAATGATTCAGTTGTAACGGAACCCTCCCCCATTGCCAACCACTTCAATGAATATTTTATTAATGTTGGCAAAAATCTTGCAGAGAGTATCCCAGATCACCATGAGGAATTTAGAGCCTACCTGCAAAACAGACAGCAAAATGAGCTGTTCTTATCCCCTGTCACAGCAGATGAATTACTAGCCATCATAAAAATGTCCAAAGATGCAGAAGCAGGCGAAGACAATAAACCAAAGAGCATCATTAAGAAAGTAGCCCACTTATTACTACCTGTTCTCCTACACATTTGTAACTCCTCCTTCACTAGTGGTGTCTTTCCTGATAAACTGAAAATTGCTAAAGCTCACCCAGCATATAAAAAATCTGGGGACAAAGGTCTCTTCAAGAACTACCGCCCCATATCAGTCCTCCCAGCCTTGAGTAAGATACTGGAAAAGCTAGCATGTAATAGACTAAATTCCTTCTGCAATGCCAATAACATCTTTACAGACTCCCAGTTTGGATTTAGAGCTAGATGGTCGACTGAGAGTGCTCTGCTATCCTTTACTAATGACATCTTAAATTCCTTTGATGACAGTCAGTTCACAGTCGGTATATTCTTGGACCTCTCTAAAGCCTTCGATACTGTCGACCATACCATCCTCCTTTCAAAGCTTGAACATTATGGAGTAATGGGCCTGTCCCACAATTGGTTTACCTCATATCTGTCCAACAGGATGCAGTATGTCTGCTATAATAATCACCAATCTGACTCCTCGCCAATCTTGTATGGAGTCCCCCAAGGTTCCATTCTCGGTCCAGTACTGTTTTTGTTGTACATAAACGACACAGTCCACGCCAGCTCACTCATAAAATACAACTTATTTGCAGACGATAGTAATCTCTATGCCAGCAACTCAGACCTCCATTCCTTGATAAGAACTATGAACACTGAATTAACTAAAGTCAGGAGCTGGGTAATACATAATAAACTGACCTTAAACCTTGAGAAAACCCACTACACGATCTTTCACAGAAGGAAAAACTTACCCCCAGACTTGGACCCCCTGTACCTTGGTAATACAGTCCTCAAATGCGAACAAAATACTAAATTCCTAGAGTTATTGTTGATGAGAAACTTAACTGGAGAAACCACATACAAGCCATTCACAGTAAAGTCAATAAACACAGCAATGAAAGAAATCTATCATGATCTTGTCTACCAACACCTGATACACTGTCACACACTATGGGGGGCCTCTGGCTCTTCAAAAACACAATATCTGGTTACTGCACAAAAGAGAGTTGTACGGACCTACTTGAAAAAAAACCCAGATCACACAAACGAGAAATTTGCTATAAAGTATTGAAAATTTTAAAATTCAAAGATATTAACACCTACTGCTGTGCTCTCTTTGTTTACAAATCTATCAATCACTTGCTTGACAATAATTATATCCAGTTCCGGAATAATCAGAGATACAACTTAAGGCACTCAGAGCTACTAAGACCACCCCTCATGCGCTCCTCTCAGTCCCAGACCTCCATAAAATATCACGGTGTGAAGGTGTGGAACAACTTACCCCCACCCATCCGAGCAAAGACTACGCTCCCTTCCTTTAAATCATCTCTTAAAAAATATCTATTGTCTAGGTATTAATATTTTTTGTAACACCTACTATATTTACAGGACCTGTTTTTATTGTACCATCAAAACCGTTTTATTGGAAATTATCATGTAAATACAGTACTTTGGAATAAGAGTTGTGAAGTATTGGAATAACCTGCCTACCAGTGTTGTGATGGCACAGTGTGTGAATTCATCCAACAATTGCACATGCTCAGGTACATTTAAGAGTCTCTACATGCCCAGTACAGTACTTGTCAACAGAATAACAAATAATTAACAAACTACCTGACTGGTAAATCAACTTAACAGTGGCTGAGAGGATAAAGTAAAGTACGTTAGGTTATTCTAGTTCATTATAAGCTTTCATAAAAATTTTATGTACTACTGTACAGTAGTACCGTAGTATTGCCCTAGTCTCATAGCCATCATTTGTAAATAAAGTCAATACTGTATTGCTTTGTATGGAAATTTAGAAAGAAAGGATTTTACATAACTTTGCTCTTTGTTTTGAAAACTAAAATATGTGTTCACATACCGGTAATTCAAGACACACTGGATGCAGGTACGTCAATCATATTGATGGACTGTGTGATTAATGGTAAGGCAGAGAATCGTGCATGCACAAAATGCGGTACTATTAGGTTGAACTAGATTAGCATTACGCTGCCGTACCAAAAGACTTCAACGTTTCACACATGTTTACTGTAATGAATTCAAAATCCATTACCAAACATTATTACACAGGTTTCTTTAGAGTTTTATAGAAAACTTCCATGTTGACAACGTTTTTGTGCTTGTACAAATAGACATTAGGTAATTTTGTGAATTCACACTTACCCCCTAACCACAAGGGTAAATTTAAAGTAAAGGACATAATTAGATAGCCTTTTTTCAATGGTAATTTCAGACAAAAACAAGACGAATTTCTTCAAGGACACTTTTGGATCTTACCCATAACCAAGATATCATAAGTTGAAAATCATAAAACAACTAAAAAAGGTATTATACTCTACTGTACAGTACAGTGTATAGCATTTGTTGCCACCAACCGAATCTCTAGAATTTTATCTTTGTAAACAATAGTTTAGACAATTCTTAAGACACTTTTTTCACAAACGACCTAGAACCAAGATATTTAATATACAGTCTCTCCTCGACTAACAACGGGGTTCCGGACCGACAACCAGGTCGTAAGTCAAATTGGTCGTAAGTCGAAAAGGCGAAAATAATACATAGAAAATCTAAAATGGGTGTCTCTTTTTCTTCTCAGCACCACTAGAACTCTCACTTTTACGCTTGCCAGCCCTTTTAAAGGGAATTACAAACAAAAATTTTGTTAGTCACAGCGCGATCACTAACGTGGGGACTCGAAAATACGTAATTTAAAAAATATTTTATACGACTGCGGCGGTCGTATGTCCGAGTGGTCGTAAGTCAAGGAGTACCTGTACAGTACTGGCTACGGGGTGGCGGAGGAAGTGAGGTAACATTAGGTAGGATTGGTTGGTGCTATGTGCCACATGTTACTAATTAAGTTAGGCTAAACTGGGAGACTTCACAACCGACGTGTTATTTGTTTTGATGTTTATATTCTTATTATATTTTCATCAATGAGTATTGATATAATAATCATTTTTATGGAAACTGCTTCATTTGGTAGATAATCAGGTGACTAGGCGTGCACTACTTTGTCTGGCTCACACAGCCAGTGTATGTTTATGAACTACACTGGATTGGGCGGCTGGTCTCACATCCACAAAAACATAAAATTACACCATATAATTGTAAGTACTTTCTGTTTAATATGCCAGGGGGTCCAGAGGGTTGAGCCTCATGGCTGGGAAGTTAGGTAAGGTTTCTTTGGTTAGGTTGATAAGGTCTTCTAACAATGCTTCTGCCACTTGTTTTTCTTATCAATTAAGGTTACGTTAGATTTAATTTAGAAATAACTACTTTTTAACACATTTTCCATAACTACAACAATGTCCACTATAAAACAGTGAAATTGCAGCACTTTTAAATTCGTTTTCTATGAAAAATCAGAGGCTGTAAAGTCGTAAATAATCACCTAAGTTATCCTTACCAACCAAACCTACCTAACTTCCTAACAGGGCCTCCAGACCCCCTGGCATATTAAATATCTCAGTTCTAGGTCATTTACGAGGGAAACATCACAGAAGAAAAGTGTCTTAGAGTTGTCTTAACTATTGACTGCAAGGAAAAAATCCTGAGATTCAGCTGGTAGTAACAAATGCAATATTACTTCAGATACCCGGTAAATAGTTTTCTGATTTTCAACTCACGATATCTCGGTTATGGGTAAACTACACCAAAAATGTCACAGAAGGAAATAGTCTTTAGTCTGAAATTATCATTGGTAATTATTGATGACTGACCCACCGGCGATTTAGCATAGTAACCGATTATAAAAGCACCGCAATTTCACTGTTTCTATAAAGGACGCTGTCGTTGTTTGTACAAATTTATTTTTAACCCAACCCAACCTTAACATAAAACCGTTTTATAAGAGGACACTCATTGTTTGTGCAAAGTTTTTTTTTTAACCCAACCTAACCTAACTTAACCTAACCCAATCTAACCTAACCTTAAAATAAAACTGCCGCATTATTGCCGAGAAGACAAAGTAGTTAGCACCTTAGGTGCCTACATATCTACCAAACAAAGCATTTGCACAAGAAATGATTATAAATTCAGAACTCATTGATGAAAATTGAGAAGAAAATAAATACCAAAACAAATAACTCTTCAGTGCGTCAGTCGGTTAATATTCGTCCATTGGCTGTCCACAGGTTTCCAATTTTCAATATTACAGACACAAAGACTACCGGGTATAAAAAAAAACATATGACTTCATATCATTTCTTGTGCAAATTAATATTAACTGAGTATTTCACAAATTTCTAGGCATAAATTTCTGTACCCACCATGTTGCCAGTCACTTCTCTCCTCTCCTCCTCCTGATCTTCGCAGTATGACAACCAATGACCTTCAAGTTTTGTGGAATGTGTCTTGGCTGGCCAATCATTTTGAAGCAGCCTTCCACTGCGCAATTTCGAATTTTGAGGTGTTCTCTCCTTTTAGCTGTTATTCAGTGAGTTTATGAGAACGACAGTGAAGCAATCAAAATATTACAAGATCACGGTATCCTACCAACATCAAGACTGTGTCTTAAGTGTGGAAATTGTTTACTTTTAAGAAAAGCCAGAAAATATTTGTCTGTAACCATAAGCATACCAGATTGCCCAGCTGTATCCTCCACCACAGTAGCAGGTAAGCTCCAAAATATGGTTAGGTTAGGGGGGGGGGTTTGTTGTTGTTGTTGTTTTATGGTGTTTTACTCAAACCTGAGTGCCATTTAGGTGCAAATTAGCTGTTTTGGTTACAAAAATGAAGGTCAGATTCGTTTAAAACACACCAAAATACACTGGAAAAACATATTGGTCAACCACTAGGGAGTCATGTCCGCAAGTATTTTTTTAACTGCTAATTTGCACAAGAAATAAGTCAGAATCGAGTAAAACACACTATAATATATATATATATATATATATATATATATATATATATATATATATATATATATATAATTTTTTATCAAAATCCGAGGACAGCCAATGGACAAATATTTACCGGTGAGCCATTAATATTAACCCCTCTCCTTATACCTCAATGGGTCTTGGTCAAGCAAACACAATGATAACGTTTATAAAAAAGTAATAGCCAACATGTTCCTTGTTCTGTTGACTTTACTGCCTTCCCACATGCATGGAATTGCACGTTTTACCTTAATTAACTCATAATATCTCCAATCTGCGAGGGAAAAATATGACAGGGAACATGATAAGTGATCCAGCTGGCAGCATGTCCGGCTGTCATGAGCATCTGGCTCCTTCCAATATTCTCGATAATCCACCATTATAATTATTTTCTATGATCAGATAAGTCACCTCTAATGGCCGTTATTCTATGAAATTATATCTTTAAACTTATTATGATGTATTAACTCACCAGACGTGACGGCTTTCTATTTCAGGAAGACGGACACAATTGCTCTATTTGTTTACACTTCTGCCGCTGACGTTTGGACAACAATTTCTTGGTACTATAGTTACTATTTAATTATCGCTTACATCGGTTGTATTTTTATAAATTAGTCTATTATATTACATTAAATAAATATGAGTTGACTTTAGTGGTCAAAAGCCTTGTGGTTTCTTTTGAAATATAATTATTAAAGAAGTCTTGAATGCAACCAATGACGTCATCAAAGCTTAGTATTTTCTTAAAGTATTGGAATTTGACTTTATAAGGAATAAGCAATAAATAAGCATTGGTTAAAGACAACTTTACAAAATTAGGAAGTTATGTCTACTCTTGTAAGCTGTACCCGAGGATGATACCAATTTTACGTGTGTTGGTAAACTGTCTCCCGAGTCTACCTGATCTACTGATTACCCTCGCGCGCGCACACACATACATTTCTTATACCGGCATTTAAGAATGATACGTGGCAATGTATGTGTGGATCTTCAAACTATATGCTGAAATCGGTAAATTCAATCATACTCTTATATACAATACTAAAAATTCAAAATGTATGCGAATTTTCAAAAACAGTTGGGCTTTAGTCATACTTTTGATGACAATTTTGCCTATGGTTACAATAAATTCGAAATCGCACTTTCATGACTAAGGCCACATTGCATGCTGTGACCTTTAATGATTATCACCACACCGTTTACCGTCGCTTACTTGCCTGTGAACATGTATAGCTCACCACGCTACCTCCCCATCAGGGTAGCTACACCGCCTTACGGATGCACCTCATAATTGTCACACAATTTGATATATCTTCACCAAAATAGCCACACCACCTCAATAGATGCTTATGACTGTACAATATACCCTCAGGACTGGCCACACAATATCCCTTTTGTATGCTTACGACTGCAGCCACACTAGCTTGATGTATCCACAGGTCTACCACAATATATTTGCTGCTACCGCATGACTGATCAACACACTTCCTTGATGTATCCCTATGTCCGTGATCACACTTCCTTGATCAACACTTACCAAACTTGACCAACACTGGGGCAGGTTCAGATAATTCAGGGGTCAGTGCGTGCCCAGTACCTGCCAGTGTGTATTTGAGACGTGACCGACCGCCCAAGCGGCAAAGAGGATAAAAGTAAAAGTATCCTCACGCCCGTGACCACACTTCCTTTATGTAAATGATGTATCCTCAGGCCCAGAGACTCTAGTCAATGCGGCTGCTCCTGGCCGTGCGCTTACAGGAGCCTCGCGCTCTCCTGGTTAGTTATAGTTCAAATGCAACACATAAGCTCGTAAGAGCTTATGTGCTAATTGGAAGCATTTTAGTGAAAGACTAAAATTTCATGAGTCATCAAATGAATACTTGCTCAATTTAACCAAATGGATGGAAGTGAAAAGAAGGTTGTGTTTAATGATTACCATAGATGCACGCATGTAAAGACTTGAATAAAGAACATAAGAAAGGAGGAAACTGCAGCTGGCCCATTGGCCCATACTGGGCAGTCCCATTTACGCTCATTATAAGGGCGGGGTTTCTTTCTTCCTTTCTTTTTTTTTTTATTGTTTTCTCTTTCTTTCTTCTTACCCTTATATTCTTATTTCATACTTCTTTCTTTTTCTTATTTCCTTCATTTGTTCTATCAAATTATTTCATTTCCTATAATTACTTCATAACCTCTGACCTTTGGTAGCATGGCGAGGGTTAGGGTGTAGGGTTTCGTGATGTTATGTTGTCTAGCACTCAGGATGGGATGGATGGAAACTCTAGGTGGCGGTTTTCTTATATAAAATATATTATATACAAGACAGTCTGGTGCTGGAGATGCCATGTGGTGAGAAGCTTGCTCAGAGGACACGTTCGGTGAGTAGCGTGTTTGAGGAGGTATCTGTGCAGGAGCTTCGTTAGAGGAGATGTTGCGTGTTGCTGTCCTCCAAGTTGAATGAGAGCTAGACAGCGAGGAGCTTGCTTGGAGGTGGTGTTGCGTGTTCAGGAACGTAGGGCAGAATCCATCTCAATTGAGAGACTGAGAGCTTATATACACAGCCGCCGGAAGTAAACCCGTGGGAACTCGCCGGTTGCTTGACTCCGTTGCTAGGGTAAATGTCGCAGGTGGCGACCCCCCGTGAGCAGCTCCCTGGTTGCTAGGATACTGTCGCATTGGAATGCGGCTACACAGTTGTAGGGGAGAAATCCACTACAAGGGCACATGGGTTCTGTAATTCTGGTATCAAGTTATTGGACAAGAACAAAGGTAGATACTGAGGGAAAATGATACCCCCCAACATACTCTAAACATGGTTTATTAATATGAAATTAAATTTGGTTAAAGGTGTCATTAACATACAACTACAAGGTTCAACTCCTTGGCTTTACTCATCTGCAATTCCAATTAGATACTCTTGCTTCTTACATCATTACTGGTTGCACATTTAAAAGAACACCCCACATGACAAGCTTACATATGGTACTGTAGTGGATTTCTCCCCTACAAATGCTATTTGTCGCTGAGTAGCCGATCCCGCGAATTCCAGTGTGTGCCTCGTGGTCTAGGTCAACCAGCGCTGCCTGACATAGCAGAGGTCAACTACTAAGCCACGCCTACCTCCGCTATTTAAGACCTGACCTCGTGGTGACCCACAAGCTGGTCCTCCTCTGAGCACCCTCACCAACCAGCTCTCTCTACATCACGCTTGTAACCACGCTGCCACTTCCCAGCACCAAGCTGCATTGTACATCCAATACAATATGTATACAGTGAGCACATTGTGAGTTTCCTTTCTCCATCCCATCCTGAGTGTAACCCAAACATAACCTACCCCACAAATGGTGACCCCGGAGATTCGCACTCACACAGGATGGAGGAGAAACAGATCACGCTCCCAGTCTTCAAGCAACATGGAAGACTGGCTTATCCACCCAGAAGCAGCTCTCATCGGCTCTACAGCTACTGTCTCTAAACCGCAGGTTAGACACCCTAGAGCAGCACTGCTTCTCTAAGCAGACACCAGCTCCTCTTCCTGCCCCAAGCACCACGTCCTACCGACCCCAGCACACCCGTCCTGCCTCAGACGCCGCCCCCGGCCCAGCAGTACCCCCTGCCGCTCCTCCTGATGCAGCCCCTGCTCCCGACGCGGACCCACACACCCCTCTTTTCTCCCTCAGGTACTCCCTGCTACTGTCCTGCACCCTGCTGCTGTCGTGGACCCAGCTGCTGTCACGAGCCCTCATCCGCTTCTGCTGACGCAGCCCTGCTCCTGACCCAGGCCCACACACCCCAGCAGGCGCATCATCACCCGTCCTGCCTCAGACGCCGCCCCGGCCCAGCAGTACCCCCTGCCGCTTCTCCTGACGCGGCCCTGCTCCTGAGTGCGGACCCACACACCCCTCTTTTCTCCCTCAGGTACTCCCTGCTAATGTCCTGCACCCTGCTGCTGTCGTGGACCCAGCTGCTGTCACGAGCCCTCATCCGCTTCTGCTGACGCAGCCCCTGCTCCTGACCCAGGCCCACACACCCCAGCAGGCGCATCTGACGACTCTGTACCTGCCGTGAGGGAAGCACAACATTCATCGCCTCCACACACCCTTTTTCTCCCTCTCTACTCCCACAGATATTGTGTATCTAGACAGTTGTCTCCTAGCGACCGGCTCATCCACGCCATCGCCGTTGTCTCACATGAGGCATGCACCGCCCGTTCTGCCTCACATGTGCTATGCAACCCTGCAGACAACAAGTCTCCTACACTGCCTGGAGGGAAGGAGGGAGTATTGTAGTGGATTTCTCCCCTACAAACGCTGTTTGTCGCTGAGTAGCCGACCCCACGAATTCCCCAGTGTATGCCTCGTGGTCTAGGTCAACCAGCGCCGCCATACATCACGGAGGTCAACTACTAAGCCACGCCTACCCCCCGCTATTTAAGACCTGACCTCGTGGTGACTCTCTCTTTCTACCTACACCAACCAGCAAGCAACACCCTCCTCCTGCCTGGCGGCCCTCGCTCCCGCCGGCGAGCATGGCGACCCACAAGCTGTCCTCCTCTGAGCACCCTCACCAACCAGCTCTCTCTACATCACGCTTGTAACCACGCTGCCACTTCCCAGCACCAAGCTGCATTGTACATCCAATACAATATGTATACAGTGAGCACATTGTGAGTTTCCTTTCTCCATCCCATCCTGAGTGTAACCCAAACATAACCTACCCCACAGTACCTTCACTAGAACTGTTGGTGGTACATATGGAGGATGCACTCACAATACATACCACGTTATTACTGATACTACCAATTTTTATGGGTTCACTACTCAACATGGAATAATTAAATTTCGGCTAATTATCCCCCATCATATACAGCAATAATACTGTGGCCCATATAGCACCTCAGCTACCCTGAGAGATTGGAGCGTCTGAACTTGCCTGGCTTATATTACAGACGGGTAAGGGGTGACCTAGTTGAGGTGTATAAGCATCTCAGGGGGGCACTACTCAGTCGAGTGTTCTTACTTGGAGATGGCGGACGCTCGTCCCACAAGGGGTCACAGCTCAAGATTGAAGAAGCCCCAAGTCCAGAAAATTGTGAGGGCAAACTTTTTCGGAGTGAGGGTTGTAAACTCTTGGAACAATCTACCAGAGTGTGTTGTGACGGCACCGAGTGCGAGCTCTTTCAAGATAAGACTTGACCAACACTGGAGCAGGTTCAGGTACATTCAGGAGCCGGTGCATGCCCAGTATTTGCCAACAGTGCGTGACAGCGACGTGACCGATCGCCCAAGCGGCTAACGAGCCGATCAGTGGCGAAGAGGATAAAAGTAAAAGTAAACTGTAAGGAGTGCCCCAGGGTATAACACTGGTGTCTCCACAACAAATGAAGATCACTGTTATGGTCGGTTGTAGTCTGACACACGGCGAGAGTCTGAGCCTAGTTCCCAGGATGCGGACTTGTACAGTTTAATCCTGCAGAATTAGGGACATCATCCAATACAGCTAGCTGTCATGCAGCTACCGATCCCCGGTAGCTGCTGGGTATTCAGCTAAGACACACACACTGGGCC